CTCCTCTTGAGAGAAAAAAGGTACCCAGGGTCGTTAATGGGGTAACCAAGGTATCTGTAAGACTCGCAGTTCTCAAGTGCTCGCCCATCTATATGATAATTGGCTGGTGGAATACCACATGGAATGAGGGCACGAGTTTTCTGTACAGAGATAAGGAGGCCACATTCCTCAGCTCTAGTAGCAAAAGCGTCGAGCAGAACTTGCATTCTAGGCTCGGAGGCAGCCTGTAAACATATATCATCAGCATAACAAATGACAGTGTCTTCATTATTAGTTGGAAGATCTTTAATAAGTTTATGCATCAGAACGTTGAACAACAAGGGGCTGAGGACCCCTCCTTGTGGAGTTCCCAGTTCAAAGTGTTTGCTCTCTGTGCTTTTAACACCATTAAACAAAACATATGCTGTTTGATTAGACAAAAAGCCCTTTATCCATTTCAGTAATTTTCCTTGTATTCCCAGCTCGGCAAGCTGTTCCAGTATGATTTCTCTGTTTGCTATATCAAAAGCTGCTGCTAGGTCGATGAAGACTGTTTGAGGAGAAGCTTCAATATGTGCGAAGTACTCAGCAAAACAGTGTTGTGTACTGAGCCCAGGCATAAATCCAAACAGTTGGGGTGACAGGTGCCCCTGTATACGATACATGAGTCGGTTAAGAACAATACGTTCTAGCACTTTACAAACACATGATGTTAGAGATATGGGTCTATAATTATCTGAGTGTGGTTTGGGGATGGGAACAATGACACTCTTTGTCCAAGCATCAGGTAATACTCCTTCACTTAAACTCATTCTGTACAACACTAATAGTGGATTACCTGGTACGTGTGAGACTAATCTCAGTAGACTGTAAGTAATACCATCCTCTCCAGGAGCAGTTGATTTTCCCATCTTTAGTGCATGATTTAATTCCCATTCAGTTACATCATTAAGGTGTGTGGTGTGGTGTGTGTGGTGTGGTGTGGTGTGTGGTTTCTAATAAATGATCAGTGTCCTCAATCAATGGTCTTTGTTCCTGATAGAATTTCTTTTTATTAATTGATCTTATTATTATAAAATAGGATGTTACGATGTGTGATTGACACTTGGAAAAAAGCATAAAGCTGTTCTCTTTTCGAATTCTGGCGACCCCCAACTAGCCTATATTAATCCCGCACCCCAGACTATTCTCTTTGCCAGTTTGGATGAGGCTAGCCCCAAGCATCTAGCCTCAACTTTAAATAGACAGGCATTCTCTTATAGTGCATATATATATATATATATATATATATATATATATATATATATATATATATATATGTCGTACCTAGTAGCCAGAACGCACTTCTCAGCCTACTATGCAAGGCCCGATTTGCCTAATAAGCCAAGTTTTCCTGAATTAATATATTTTCTCTAATTTTTTTCTTATGATATGATAAAGCTACCCATTTCATTACGTATGAGGTTAATTTTATTTTATTGGTGTTAAAATTAACATAGATATATGACCGAACCTAACCAACCCTACCTAACCTAACCTATCCAATCTCTATAGGTTAGGTTAGGTTAGGTAGCAGAAAAAGTTAGGTTAGGTTAGGTTAGGTAGGTTAGGTAGTCGAAAAAATATTAATTCATGAAAACTTGGCTTATTAGGCAAATCGGCCCTTGCATAGTAGGCTGAGAAGTGAGTTCTGGCTACTAGGTACGACATATATATATATATATATATGTCGTACCTAGTAGCCAGAACGCACTTCTCAGCCTACTATGCAAGACCCGATTTGCCTAATAAGCCAAGTTTTCCTGAATTATTATATTTTCTCTAATTTTTTTCTTATGAAATGATAAAGCTACCCATTTCGTTATGTATGAGGTCAATTTTTTTTATTAGAGTTCAAATTAACGTAGATATATGACCGAACCTAACCAACCCAACCTAACCTAACTTAACCTATCTTTATAGGTTAGGTTAGGTTAGGTAGCCGAAAAAGTTAGGTTAGGTTAGGTTAGGTAGTCGAAAAAACATTAATTCATGAAAACTTGGCTTATTAGGCAAATCGGGCCTTGCATAGTAGGCTGAGAAGTGCGTTCTGGCTACTAGGTACGACATATATATATATATATATATATATATATATATATATATATATATATATATATATATGTATATATATATGTATATATAACAAACATAGGCAAATTCCTATGTTTGTTATAACAAACATAGGAATGTGCCTCAATGCCAACAGTGACTGCCCAGACAGGTACAAGAGTGTCGTTAACGCTTATGTCGACCGTGCTCTCAGCCACAGCTCAGGATGGAAGCAAGTCGACGAAGAACTTTGTAGGGTAAGGCAGGTCCTAGTCAACAACGGCTTCTCCTATGGTTTCGTTGAAGACATCATAAGAAGGAAGGTGAAACGCCATGCAACCTCTGAAGAGACAACTAACACAGCACCTATACCCCCTATTAGACTATTTTACAGGAACTTCTTTTCCACAGCTCATAAAACGGAGGAAAGGGTCCTGAAAGATATTGTTAATAGAAACGTTATCCTTACAGACAAAAATCAGAAGATACAATTGACGATCTACTATAAAACCAAGAAAACGGCCAACCTACTCATGAGAAACTCTCCAGACACAAAGCAGAACGCTTTAAAAGAGACCAATGTCGTCTATGCCTTCAAATGCCCACTTGGGGACTGTAAGCCTCAAAGAATTCAGTATATAGGCAAGACAACAACATCTCTTTCCAGGCGATTAACGATGCATAAGCAACAGGGCTCCATTAAGGAACATATAATCTCTTCCCACAACCAGACCATCACCAGAGAAGTCTTAACAAAAAACACGGAAATCATCGATAGATACAGCGATAGCAGGCGGCTTGACATCTGCGAGGCACTACACATCAAGAAGTCAACACCAGCAATCAACAGCCAATTAATACACAACTATATTCTACCCATTTCAAGACTCCGCTCCAATATAGATGCATCAAGAAATATGGGCCAATAGGCCCTCTGCAATTACTTCCATTCTTACCTTCAGTACCCATTGTTTCGTGTTCTGTCTTGTGTTGAAAGTTTGTTTTCACCTCATCCAAAACTGTTGTAACAGCAACCAGGAGGCCTGGTCGACGACCGGGCCGCGGGGACGCTAAGCCCCGGAAGCACCTCAAGGTAACCTCAAGGTAAGGTAAGGTCACCCAAATGCAGGTATAAAAAAAATCGAAGATGTTTAAGCTCTATTCAGTTATAGTTGTGTGTGTGTGTAAACTAAAGTCTTTGAAAATGTAATAAGTTTTAGGAAACGCGCTCAAGTGTCGCGTCAGACTAGAAATAAAAATGAATTTTGGAGAATTGATTTTTCAATTACCATCAACAGTGAAAAGAAACATAAGAAAGATCGAGAAAATTCGTGTTAGAATTATTAATCTTACTTTTTCGGTCATATATATATATATGACCGTCATATATATATATATATATATATATATATATATATGACGGTCATATATTTAGGTGACAATTTAGGTGGCAATGTTTTCGGTCATATATATATATATATATATATATATATATATGCAAACAAGCCTGAATGGTCCCCAGGACTATATACAACTGAAAACTCACACCCCAGAAGTGACTCGAACCCATACTCCCACAACTGGTATGTACAGGGACGCCTTAATCCGCTTGACCATCACGACCGGACACAAGGAAGTGATAGCCGAGGCTATATGAACCACTTCCCCGCCGGCACTCGGATGGTAATCTTGGGCATAGCATTTTATCAAATCACCTCATTCTTTGGGGCACACGTGAGGAACACAAATGCAAACAAGCCTGAATGGTCCCCAGGACTATATACAACTGAAAACTCACACCCCAGAAGTGACTCGAACCCATACTCCATACCCATACATGCTATGCCCAAGATTACCATCCGAGTGCCGGCGGGGAAGTGGTTCATATAGCCTCGGCTATCACTTCCTTGTGTCCGGTCGTGATGGTCAAGCGGATTAAGGCATCCCTGTACATACCAGTTGTGGGAGTATGGGTTCGAGTCACTTCTGGGGTGTGAGTTTTCAGTTATATATATATATATATATATATATATATATATATATATATATATATATATATATATATATATATATATATATATATATAATACACACACATGGGGTGAGTACACATATATGCAGTGTAATGTATTTACTCGAAGCCGATGATGATGTAGCAGTTACGGTGCCAGATAAATGATTAACAAATCAATCCATCAATCGACAGCTTAGGGCCCGCGCAGGAATATCCCCCCCCCCCAAAAAAAAAAGCCCTTCCCCGAAAAAAAAAACTTCCCCCCCCCCCCCCCGGTTAACCGGTTAGTTAACTGATTGAAGTTAACCGGGAGCCGGTCGGGCGAGCGGACAGCACGCTGGACTTGTGATCCTGTGGTCCTGGGTTCGATCCCAGGCACCGGCGAGAAACAATGGGCAGAGTTTCTTTCACCCTATTCCCCTGTTACCTAGCAGTAAAATAGGTACCTGTGTGTTAGTCAGCTGTCACGGGCTGCTTCCTGGGGGTGGAGGCCTAGTCGAGGACCGGGCCGCGGGGACACTAAAAAGCCCCGAAATCATCTCAAGATAACCAAGATAACCTGTGATTGAATTGGCATAACAAGAGGGATATTAATAAGGTATTAAATATAACAATACAAAATAGGACACGAAACAATGAATATAAAATGGATAAGTTTATATTTAAGAAATGCTGATCTGGAAACATGGTTGTTGATTTGTGGACCAGATTACCGGGTAGCATAATAGTCGTGGGATCACTTCACTGTTTCAAGCGTAGGTTAGACATTTATGAATGAGTCTGAGTGCATATGAATAGAAGCTGCCTCGTATGGGCCTATTGGCCCATACGAGGCAGCTTCAATTGTATCCCATACGAGGCCCATAGGGACCCATAGGTCCTTAATTATAATGTTCTCATCGATTTTGCTCCCCAGCAGAAATCAGTCCTTGGGTGGAGAAGACCTTTCGGGGTCTGGTTGCACACTCCAACGCCTACCTGGCCGTCATGCCAATTGGCCACCCGATGGACGCGAGAACCCACCTAAGTGACGGAGCGACCCACTTGCCAGACGAGGCAACCCACCTGGGAAACTTAGGTGGTGGGTCTGGTATCGTAAGCCAGGGCCACACGCTGTTTGTGTTCCGTCTGGAGACAGCGGACGACGCCCGCCGCTTCTACCAGGTAAATAATCCGTGATCCGTGATAATCACTTCAGTGGAATAATAATAAATAGAAAATACTTTAACGTGATATGTTTTCTTTAGTCTATGATAAATTATTCATATTTCGTTGCAAAATGATCACGGTAGTTTGAAAGACCAAAACTGCACTGTTGCCCATTGCTATATATAATGACTTCCACTTCCCATACTGTTCACACGGACTAAATCGCCGTTTTTTTCATTTCACACATGCGGGTTGGGTGAGGCTAGCCCCTAGCGTCTGGCCTCCAGCTTTAGACAGACATTCAGACATTAACGGGGTGAGAATAGCTTGAGCTACCTCATCCCTTTGTGTGTATTTTACCTCAATAAACTTATTTCAATTTCAATTTCCTTGTAGTTAGTCAACATTCATTATATGTGCGTGCACTATGGGAAACTGTTTTCTCCTCTAATTCAGTTTTAACTGATGTTTATCTCGATAATGAAAAAGTTTGAAATATTTTAATAAGAAATTAGTTAACTGTCATTGGTATATATCGTCGTGTAGATGGCGACAGGTGGATTTTGGTACAGGTGCCGACACATTTATCTTTGTGCAGGTATTGACAGATGTATCTTGGTGGAGGTGCTGGCAGATGTATATTGGTACATGTGTTGACATATGTATCTTGTTGCATGTGTTAGATGTATCTTTATGCAGGTGTTGATAGATCAATCTTGGTGCAGGCGTTGACAGATGCATCTTGATGCAGGTATTCAGAGGAGCGCCTCTGTGGTACAGCTGGCTTCTGCTGATCCCTCAGACTCGCTGGACCCAGTGGCTGCACCATCTATACCTGCCTCTCAGTAGTAAGGTAAGTGAGGGACCCAGCTGCACCTCCCCCAGCTGGGTAGGTGAGGAGATCCAGCTTTACCTCCCTCAGTTGGGTAAGTGAAGGGGCCCAGCTGTACCTTCCCCAGCTGGGCTTGTGATGGTACCAACTACCCGACTGCTGTAATGGGTGCGTGTGTGTAGATTCAGAATCACTTCAGTGTCCTGCATATTATGCAGTGGTCACAAGATCATTGAAAAATACAAAAAAAATCTAACTTTTCAAACAGGTGATCGTGGCCACATATACGGAGGGGGAGAAGGAGGAGAGAGCCATGCCATGGTGGCAGGTGTATCAGGTCTCCCCTGCCACAGAGAAGAACGTCCTGGCCTCCGGCATCTGGTCCCTGGGAACAAGTGTATCGGGAGAGAATGACTGGGTCAAGGGTCACCTCAGGCCGGGAGAGAGTGTTGAGGAGAGGCAGATGACCTACGGGACGGTGAGAGCGGTGAAGGGAGACCCACTGCCCCGCCGGACGGACCTGACGGGCCTCCACCTCTCCTGCACCACCATTCATGTGAGTCAACCCGCCCCTTCCTCCCCACAATCTCTTGTTTGTGCCTTGATATTTCTGATATAAACTCAGATGTCAGTCTAATTAGTTATGTTTTACAACAAATATATCATACCAGTGAGAATTTCCTGTACAAAGAGGGTAGAAATTAACCGACTGATTGATTTATTAGCTGTTTAATGATTTGATTAATTGGTATTAAATTTCCATTGTCGCTTCTTAGCCCCACCGAGACCGCCAGATGGAAACAACACTACAACACCAATAACGCTAACAAAAATAACAACAATCCCAACTCTGCTATAACAGAAGCAACATAACCCCCCCCCCAACATCTCAACAATGTGTACCTTCTTTGTTCTTCCCCATAATTTCAAGACTTATTTATCATTATTTTCCAACATTTACTTTCTCTTAGCAGCACCCTGGCCAGTAGCCCAACGTGGGCAGCACCAACCATCGTCCAGACTGTGTGACACAGTGGTGGCCAGGATCAGGCAGACCTGCCGCCACCTGTGGCAGGGGGCTACAGGTGGCGAATCTCTTAACCCTGAACACTCTACGCCCAAACTCTGCTAGCTAGCTTTAGTTATTTAACTGGGTCATAATCTGACACACTAAATTATTGAATACTCAGTCATTAGAGACCCTTCAGACCTGCCGCTATAAGATAACAGGAGCTTTGGAATTATTTCTCCATTAGCAGTAACCTGTCATCGCAGATCACATGCTCCCATATGACTGCAAGATGGGGATTTTTAGCATCACATAACTACCTCTTGACACAAACTATGTAACCCTTCATATTGTCTCGGGTACCTACTTAAATGATCATATATCTAAGTATGCTTAAAAAAATGCACCACTTAAATAAAAATCCAGTCCATCTCCGCAGACGTCCCCCCACACTGTACTGACGGAGGGCAACAACGGCACTGTTACTGTGGCTGGCATCTTCGGCGGCGTCCTCAAACTCTTGCAAGAGCTCACAAACTTCACGTATGATTTTCGTGCTTATTTGTCATATTAATGTTCACTTTTCTTTAACCGTGCTTTTTATGGCATAAAAATGGTAATCTTTTTAATGGTATTATTTTCATGCTAGAATACTTGCACTTTGTTGTGATGTGTTCGACAGTTTTCCCAATGTTTGACATTCTTTTTGTTGTTGTCTCGTCAGGATCTCTAGAATGTTTATATGTTCCTGTTTATTATACTAATGGTTAATTACTTGTTCTTTCATTCGTCTCGGGTATATTTTGCTTCGACAGAATATTGCGTTTTCATAACCAAGTTCTTACACGAATAATGTTGAGATCTGAGTAAAGAATTAGTTTTGACAATGTCTTGTTTTATGTCGTTTGGATGTAAAGAATTGATTTTGGTTTTGTTAAGATGTATTGTATTGTTATGGTTGTGTTGTTTGGATGTAGTGTATTTTTTATATTACTGACCGAAGAAAACTGGCTATCGGGGGGGGGGGGGGGTCTGGCCTGCGGCAACCCATTCTCGCACTTACTTACTGTCAATATTGACTTATTAAATAAGTGCATATGTGACATACTAATTTATTGTGAATATTTTAGTTTACCTTGAAAAGCTTCATAGAAAACACCGACCTTACCTAACCTTCTTAGTATGTAAAGATAAGCATCTTATTGCTTCGTAATTACAATTATTACTTAACCTATACCTATAATAGGTTAAGTAATAATTGTAATTACCTATACCTATACCTATAATAGGCTAAGTAATAATTGTAATTACGAAGCAATAAGATGCTTATCTTTACATACTAAGAAGGTTAGGTAAGGTCGGTGTTTTCTATGAAGCTTTTCAAGGTAAACTAAAATATTCACAATAAATTAGTATGTCACATATGCACTTATTTAATAAGTCAATATTGACTGTAAGAAAGTGCGAGAACGGGTTGGAGTTGGGGGTGCAGCGCCGGTCCCCAAGTGTTTCGCTGTCCGCAGCTACTCCTACCTTTAGTCAGGAAATTCTTATCTCCTTATTCCTTGGCGGCACGGCCTCACGGCCTGGGGTTAATTTTTCTCCTCCATTTTCATATCAGGCTTTTCCCAGTCTATGTGTAAATTTCTGCACGCCTGATCAATTTCCGTATTAATTCAGCTAGGGTTTACCATTATGTCTTTCGGGCCTCTTGGCCAGGCTTCATTAAATGTTATGTTGTTTAATCACATTATATTTACTCTTTGTGTCCTGACTGTTATACATAGTGTTATAGATTTATGTTATACATTTGCCTTAGTTCTAGTTCTAAAACAATAAGCTATTCGGTTTCTGCAGATTTTGATTTATCTTGTTACTAGGCTATAAGCATACTATTAATTTACTACGGGTGTACATTTTAAGTTGATTTGGTGTACTTAGAGTTAGCCACGGCTATGTTATGCATTTGTTAAGTCTTACTTATAGCCGCCTCATTTACATGTTCTGCAGAAATTATTTACTTGTACTTCTACTACGTAATAAATAAGCTCCCATACTGTTGGTGTCTTTTCCCCCTTATCAGAAAAACTGGCTATTTGACTGTACTTTTAGCGCTTGCTTGGATAACTTGTATATAGTGATTCCCTTAAATACAATAAACAGATGGTTGTGTTTGGCTATCTATACTATGACCTGTTGTTGAATGCAGGTGCTCGTGTCGACCGTCTAGAGACGGTCTGTGGGGCAGCCTGGTGGACGGGAAGTGGACGGGTATGATACGGGACCTGGTGGACGGTGAAGCAGAGATGGCCGTGGCGTCACTGGACATCACCGACGAGCGCAGTACCGCAGTTGACTTCCTCCTGCCCATCACTCGAACCCAGTAGGTCTGAATTCTCTCTCCTCGCATACATTGTTATCAACAAAGGTATTAATATAGTGTTAAGTTAGCTCACATGCACACACGGCTGCCTCCTTATCCTGCAGTGTGGCTCAATTGCACCGCATTGATTTGTATTTTTTACGCTACTGAATTGCACTCTGTACAAGATCATTTATAAATTTTTATTTACAAGGGAAACATTACATTATCTATAATTAATATAATTATCTGTGATGTTATATCATCCGATAACAGACATTGTAAACCTTTAAGTTATAACCTTTCCTTTATACTGCTGTTATTGGTCGGGTGTGGGCGTCAACAGTTTCTTTATTTATTTAATATATCAGAAAAGTTCTTTAGAAAACGCTAGGAAATAAAGAATAGGCAGATGTTATAATTGTGTGCAGGACCTGAGGGCGTATAATTCGGTGTACCCAGTGTGTGCAAGTTCGAATCCTCATCACGCCTTCTCCTAATTTTCTCATTGATACATCACGTTACTGTAATTTATTTGTGCACGTGCAGGATCTAACTGTGTTTGGGCCCTAGATCAAAACAGCTAAATGTGTCCCACGCTGTCGTCAGTGTTACTATTAAAAGGTTAAACATCCATGTAGACAGCTCATATCATAGTAATATGCAATGAGTAATGATTAAAGTTATAGTACGCTTTGTTTACAAAGGGATACATTGAAGTCATATTCCTATATTTATACAAGTTTTAATTGTTCTGTACACGACAACGTGTACAGAAACAATCATCCTGAATGAACAGGTGTTGATTCACACAGATTATTGATTTCACATGTGCCATCCCTGGAAACACAAACCGAAACTGTCTATTTTCCGCTTGTTACAACTTGTAATAAAGTTGTTACATCTTGGCTTAACGTGTTTATGACGTATTAGAACGTTGTTACAACTTGATATATTGGTTGTTATAACTGGTTAGGAGGTGTTAAAACTTGTTCGAACGTTGTACCAACGTCGTAGTTTCGGTGTGTGTTTGGCGGGATATGCATTCAGCATTCAGTTCAGAGGGAAGTTGCTGACTTGTGTAACATTTACTGTCATCTGGAAATTATATATTGAGCACTCCCTGACTCTTGACATGTTTGAGGATTTTTTTTTAAATTCGTAATGTGTATAAGTATTAAAATATTTTTCTTATCAGTTTAAAACACTTCTCTTGTGTTGTTTATGACGGACGTGTATTTCTCTGCGTCGTCTCTTCACGCAGCTACAAGATGGTAATGAAGCGGCCCTCTAACAGTGATCGAACGTGGATGACCTTCACGCAGGAGTTCCATGTGCATGTGTGGGCAGTGCTGGCAGCCTCGGTCTGCTTGCTCTCCCTCACCCTCTACCTTACCTCTGCCATTGTAAAGGAGAGGCAACACATTAGTCTTTCAGATTCCCTCTGCACCGTTTTTGGAGCCCTATGTGGACAAGGTGAGGAAAATCCCAGATATTTTTTGTTGTCATCTTATCTTCCCATTCTTTGACAGGCCTACGGTTCTTATGTAGGATTCGAGGGCCGTGTCTACACAGGCTGGAGGTAGTCAGCAGAGTTGCCAAATTCTTTCTATCATCTGTAGCTTTTAAATAAGGCTTCCGGGTATGTCATGCCACATAAAGCGTTCCATCTGAGTACTTTAAAACTCCCGGAATCCTTTAGCAGACTTTTCGGGCACTCCGCACTTGATGGAGTACTTCAACGTTATTTAAAGTTCCAGAACAAGATCTCTGATTCATTCGCATCTGTTGGTGCTCCTTGGCAGGATCTTTTGTTTTTATAAGTATCCTTCAGCAGTATCCTCTGGTACGCCTAATGTTCTTCAGCAAGATCATCTCTACTTTATATGTCCATCGGCAAGGTCCCTGGAAATAATACAAATTCCTAAGACTTCAGATACTGGACACCATAAGGGTAAACAATATTCTGTATTTGTTAAGTAATTTAAATAGTAACACAATTTAAGTATAATTGAAGAGCCCACATTAGGCTCGTGTGAGCTGGTAACAATGATCTTGGGTGATGTCTTAAATGTGTGTAAGTTTCCATGTCCGACCAATTCTGCCATTTTGTTTCTGTGAAGACGCTACTCCTTCGTCCGTTTATAAATAAATAAACGATATATGTAGGGGCCTTCTGTGTATTTTTTCTCCATGCAGGAACCAACTTGCAGTTCCAAAGGTTGCCATGCCGTCTGGTGGTGCTGACGGTGCTGCTCCTGCAGATAGTGGTGTTGGCTCACTACACTAGCAACCTGGTCTCAGCGCTGGCTGTGGGGCCCTCACTCCCCGCCATCTCCTCCATCGGCGACGTCGTCAGCAACCCAACGTTCTCACTCGGCACTCTTCAGGACACAGCATATCTTGGCTATCTCAAGGTGCCTATAATTTGCTTCTGTTTTTCTAACTTAACCAGGTTTTAGGAAGTATTGCAGTAGAAATTGGTTCAGCAATACCAGGTTCTAATAGGATTCGCAGAGCACTTACATATACACTTACGAGATCTGTACCTCTTAACTCGATCATGGCAATTTAGACTGTATTTACTGAACGGTTTACGAACTTCGATGTGCTACGAGGTCGCTTCATCCCAAGGTTATTATTATTACGGACGACCTTGTAGGGCTTCGGATCTTGTAAAGTTAGTCAATCAAAAATCAAAGCCGCCATGATCGCGGTAAAAAGGTCTAGATTTTGTTACTGAAACAGAACTTGTTTATTGGGAGGCAGAACTCTCCAGAGCCTGAGCACCAGATGGCGTACACCAACCTGATGGCGGGTGGAAGGCGTGGTCTGGTGGCGAGCACCACAGAGGGCGTGGCTAGGACGCTGCAGGAGAACTACATCTACATGGACTGCTCCGTCTACCTGGTGAATGAGATCGACTGCCGCCACGTCATCCTCCCCACTGCTTATTTCCCCGCCATCACCTCCATCGCCCTCCAGAAGGGTTCCCCACTGGTTCATATCTTCAATCAAATGTACGTAATTTGGATTAGTTGGCCACTTGTTTTCTCTATGGCTTACGGATTAATGACAAACGTACTCTGAGTAGCATAGGCCGACAATAATAGTACAGTACATGAGTATTAGCCACGAGATATATAAATTTGGTAATATATTGACCATTGACAAATATGTTGATACAATTTTTCTCTGTCGGTAGAATCCTTAAGATGAAAACTTCGGGTCTGATGCATAGCTTGGAGCAGCGATGGACGACTACTGAACCAGATTGCGAGGAGACCCACTTCATGGCTATAGGACTGGATGCCCTCCTCACACCCTTCCTCCTCCTCATGCTGGTGATGGGAGTGTCCGTGGTGGTCTGCGCCGCTGAACACCTCCTGCAAGAGGTGTGCTCGAGAGTCTCCGTCCAACACACTGTCATCCGCCCCAAGCACATAAAGTGTACCAAGACTTTTTGATAAGCAGCTCTCAGCGTATTGTACCCCGGATGTGTGGGGCTTTTTATCCTAAATCCTAAATATAGTAAAAAATATACAACAAAAATTAAACCAATTTAATTTGTTGATTAATTATATATGTATGTGTATATATCTATATAAATGAAAATGTAAATGTTCGTTAGTTCAAAATCGCTAATCTCCGAAAGTTCTTCACCGATTGCTTTGAAATTTTCACACAAAGTTCCATTCGCAACCGAGCAGGTTTTTATATACATACTATATTATATAGATGTCACGTCTATGACAGGAAAAAACTTTTTTTTATAAAATTGTGATTTTCATGTGAGAGAAATCTTCGAAACGTCTTTACCGATTGCTTTGAAATTTTGACACAATGCATTCGAATAGGTGCGTCTTTTTATATACCTACTATATAATACCTTACCTGTGAGAGGAAAAAACATGTTTTTTTTTGGAAAACAGCACCATCTGTGGGACATAAGAGCAACACACGCTGTAATCTCAGAAAGTTCTTCACCGATTGCTTTGAAATTTGTACACAACGTTCCATTCGAAGCGTGTTTTTATGGACCTACTATATAGATGCCACACCTGTGACAGGTAAAAACATGTTTTTTTAAACCGCTATCTTGCGCGATCCTTACAGCATCCTCACTCTTCCCTCTATCGTGCTTTGACTTATACCCCTCCTGTAGTTCCTGTTCCTCTTCACCTTCCTCTTTCTGTCCATTTGTCTCGCTTACAAGATTCTCTTTCGGTTCGTATTACCAATGTTTCTCCTCGTATTGTTCCATCCTTGCCCCCGTGGAAGGTCCCCCTTCCCAAATTTTGTACTTCTCTGACCCGCATCACTAAAGCTTTTACCCCTCCTACAGTTCTGAAACGCCTCTTCCTTGAGCACTTTTCTTCTCATTACCACTCCGTTCCCATCTTCACCGATGGGTCTAAGTCTGGTGACGGTGTGGGCTACTCTGTTGTTTTTCCTGACCACACTTGTATGTGTCGCCTTCCTCCAGAGGCTAGCATCTTCACAGCAGAACTTTATGCTATTCTCTATGCTCTTTGTCTCCTGCTTTCCCGGTGTCAATCCTCCTTTGTGGTGGTAGTTGACTCTCATAGTGCCCTCATGGCTTTAGGGGTCTTTAATCCGGTCCACCCGGTGGTCATCGAGATTCAACATTGGCTGTTTCTTATCTCCAGTAAATTTAAGTCGGTTGAGTTTTGTACTCACCTATTTGTACTCACCTATTTGTGCTTGCGGGGGTTGAGCTTTGGTCCCACCTCTCAACTGTCAATCAACTGGTGTACAGATTCCTGAGCCTACTGGGCTCTATTATATCTACATTTAAAACTGTGTATGGAGTCAGCCTCCACCACATCACTGCCTAATGCATTCCATCCGTTAACTACTCTGACACTGAAAAAGTTCCTTCTAACGTCTGTGGCTCATGTGAGTACTCAGTTTCCACCTGTGTCCCCTTGTTCGCGTCCCACCAGTGTTGAATAGTTTATCCTTGTTTACCCGGTCGATTCCTCTGAGGATTTTGTAGGTTGTGATCATGTCTTCCCTTACTCTTCTGTCTTCCAGTGTCGTAAGGTGCATTTTCCGCAGCCTTTCCTCGTAACTCATGCCTCTTAGTTCTGGGACTAGTCTAGTGACATACCTTTGGACTTTTTCCACCTTCGTCTTGAGCTTGACAAGGTACGGGCTCCATGCTGGGGCCGCATACTCCAGGATTGGTCTTACATATGTGGTGTACAAGATTCTGAATGATTCCTTACACAGGTTCCTGAACGCTGTTCTGATGTTAGCCAGCCTCGCATATGCCGCAGACGTTATTCTTTTTATGTGGGCTTCAGGAGACAGGTTTGGTGTGATATCAACTCCTAGGTCTTTCTCTCTGTTCGTTTCATTAAGTACTTCATCTCCTATTCTGTATCCTGTGTTTGGCCTCCAATTTCCACCACCTAGTTTCATTACTTTGCATTTACTCGGGTTGAACTTCAACAGCCATTTGTTGGACCATTCACTCAGTCTGTCTAGGTCATCTTGTAGCCTCCTACTATCGTCCTCAGTTTCAATCCTCCTCATAATTTTTGCATCATCGGCAAACATTGAGAGAAACGATTCTATACCCTCTGGAAGATCATTTACATATATCAGAAACAGTATAGGTCCAAGGACTGACCCCTGCGGTACTCCACTCGTAACGTCTCGCCAATCTGAGACCTCACCCCTCACACTGACTCGTTGTCTCCTGTTACTTAGGTACTCCTGTATCCAACGGAGTACCTTCCCTTTCACTCCAGCCTGCATCTCCAGTTTTTTCACTAGCCTCTTGTGTGGCACTGTGTCAAAGGCTTTCTGACAATCCAAAAATATGCAGCCTGCTCACCCTTCTCTTTCTTGCCTTATTTTTGTTGCCTGGTCGTAGAATTCAAGTAACCCTGTGAGGCAGGACCTGCCATCCCTGAATCCATGTTGATGCTGTGTTACAAAGTTCTTTCGCTCCAGATGTTCCACTAGCTTTCTTCGCACAATCTTCTCCATCAACTTGCATGGTATGCAGGTTAGGGACACTGGTCTGTAATTCAGTGCCTCCTGTCTATCCCCTTTCTTGTATATCGGGACTACGTTAGCTGCTTTCCAAATTTCTGGCAGTTCCCCTGTTGCCAGTGATTTGTTATACACCATGGAGAGCGGGAGGCACAGTTCTTCTGCTCCTTCCTTTAGTATCCAAGGGGAGATTCCATCTGGACCTATAGCCTTTGTCACATCCAATTCTAGTAAACACTTCCTTACTTCCCCGCTGGTAATCTCAAACTCTTCCAGTGGTTCCTGGTTAGCTATTCCCTCTCTTATCTCTGGGATTTCTCCTTGCTCTAAGGTGAAGACCTCCTGGAATTTCTTATTCAGTTCCTCACACACTTCCTTGTCGTTTGTAGTGAATCCTTCTGCCCCTAACCTTAATTTCATAACCTGTTCCTTTACTGTTGTTTTTCTCCTGATGTGGCTATGCAGCAATTTAGGCTGAGTCTTTGCCTTGCTTGCGATGTCATTTTCGTATTGTCTTTCTGCCTCTCTTCTCATCCTAACATATTCATTCCTGGCATTCTGGTATCTTTCTCTGCTCTCCAGTGTCCTGTTATTCCTATAGTTTCTCCATGCCCTTTTTTGCTGGGTTCCCAGCTATGTTGGTGTCTCTTTAAATGAGTGTGCGGATGCTGCCGCTAAGGAAGCTATCCGCACTTGTCCCATCTCCCTTAAAGGTATTTCTTATTCCGACTTTAACCCAGTTATTCATGCCTCCATCCTTGCCCGCTGGGAGAGTTGTTGGTCTTCTGTTATTGGTAACAAACTGCGTACTCTTAAGAGTCGTGTGTCCCAGTGGCCTTCCTGCCACCATAACCGGCGGTGGGAAACGGCTCTGGCTAGGTTATGTATTGGCCATACCCGTTTAAATCACGGTCACTTAATGGAGCGCCGCCTTGCTCCTTATTGTCCAAATTGCATTGTCCCTCTTACGGTTGTTGAAAGTCCTGACTTCCGGGACGAGAGAGTGTCTTGTTTTGCGACCGTCCCCCGCGGTCGCTTGTCCCTCGATAGAATTCTTGGCGACTCGGATAATTTTGATATCGTTCGCCTTATGCGTTTCTGTTCTCGTATTGGCATCCTTGGTGATATTTAGCGCCCTCTGATTATCCCGCACATTTGATGGTGCTACATAACCTTCCCGGTTTGGTGCCTTCTTTTGATAATTACTTACTTGGCGGAGGCCTGGCACAGAGGTTGCACTTGGTGGAGGCCTGGTGCAGAGGTTGCACTTGGTGGAGGATTGGTGCAGAGGTTGCACTTGGTGGAGGCCTGGTGCGGAGGTTGCACTTGGTGGAGGCCTGGTGCAGAGGTTGCACTTGGTGGAGGCCTGGTGCAGAGGTTGCACTTGGTGGAGGCCTGGTGCAGAGGTTGCACTTGGTGGAGGCCTGGTGCAGAGGTTGCACTTGGTGGAGGCCTGGTGCAGAGGTTGCACTTGGTGGAGGCCTGGTGCGGAGGTTGCACTTGGCGGAGGCCTGGTGCAGAGGTTGCACATATTACAAGTACCTGACATCATACCTTCAATACGTTTCCAATATTCATTAATCTCCTTGTTTGATCCCAGCTTCTGGCTCTCGTATCCCTCCAAGTGCTATATTAATTTCGGTTTAGTATTTTTTTATCATAATTACCTTACATCGTCTTTTTCCTAAGTGGGTTCACCTAAGGCAATTAGACCCGGGGGTGGGGGGGGGGAAGAAGAAAAAAGAGTGAGCAATTCTTTACTTATTTTTTTATTTTTTTAACTTTTTGTGAAATACATAACCGTATACCATATGTTGCTATGAACGAACACCGAGTATTAACAGAACAAACTTGTAATGGGCAGTTGGTTAATGTGACAACTTCTGCCTATGCGTGTTAGACTGTTAATGATGCTAATGTATTCTATCTTTCGTAAATAAGTTTCCACAAATGAGACTAGCATGAACAACAGTTTACCTGGTGTGGAGACTAGTCTCGCTAACTCACCAGCCTCTCGCTAACTACACTAACTAACCCGAGAGTCTTTCGGGTTGAGTGCGCTTCTTGCTGGGATGGCGTTCGATCCCTGATACCTAAAGTGGTTGGGCACTATTCCTTCCCTCCTTCCTCGTATCCCTTCCAGTAGTCATATTGCCTTTGCACTTTCTCCTGCCTTAAGCCAATTAACGCCCGGAAGTTATATTGTATAGAAATTTAGATAGTTTACAGGTGTAGTAGAGGTAAGCCAGCCATCTTTTGCAGAGAATAGCAAGCGTGAACATATGGAACTGCCACAGTGCATGAAGACATTTGTCAAAAATAATTGCAAGGGTAAACCAAAACATTTATTGATAAATGTTGTAAACAATGATATTTACAAACAGCGTGCGTAGACTAAGAGGGTACAGTAGAAACTGATGATACTGGAAGAGAGAAGAAATTAAGTAACTATAATTATGGACTTCTATTTCCAATTTCTTCCTATTTATTCACTAGCACTAAAGTGCTCTACACGAATAAGGAGAGTTCCTACCATGCATTATACAAGCTAAGAACCATTTTCTTGGCTCACCAGGAAGTATGGCCCTGTTGTTTGCTTGATCATACCATTACCACATACTTGTATCTTTTATTTAATGTTAAGTGACATTTATATTAGTACACAGTGAAGGTGGAGTCATCTGTCAACACAACACAGCCAGAGCATTCATGTGCTCGGGTATCTAAATTTTGTTGTATAAACTACAGACAGGAGACCATCTTGTTGTATAGACCGCAGACAGGGACCATCTTGTTGTATAGACCGCAGATGGGCCATCATCTTGTATAAATACAGCCTTCAGGGTGTTCAGAAAGTTGGGATTGGCGGAGAACCTGGAGAATATTTGGCTTTATACATAATGGTAAAACCATGAAGAACCGAGGCTCTTATTATTTACTTTGTCTCCTTCTTTCCCTTCTTCTTCTTTCACTTCTTCTTTCCCTTCCTGTTTCCTTTCTTAATATTCTTCACCAGCCGAATGTCAACATATTTTATCATATTTTTCCGTCATGGTGTATCTTATTATGCACTGTTCAACCTCAAGAGGTTTTTTGTATCCAAGGAAAATCTGAGTCGTTATGTTTCAGGCTTTTTTCCATCGTCTAATTTTCTTTCATATCTTCAACTTCTTAATGACGAAGGAAATTCATACTTTCTTTATCGTCTCACCAATTAATAAATAATCCTGTCGTAAGGACGAGTAAGGCTTAGAATCCTTGAAACGAGTAAAGCCTTACTACTTTTTTCTTGTCAAAATTGAAGAGTTCCTCACTAGGAAGATTTCTTAGAGTTGGGGAGTTTTTCCTGAACTTTCCAAGTTTTCTCAGTAGCAAAACCCCTCCCTCACTTGTGCTTAGTAGTATCTAGCTGTTTAAATGTTTCCTATACAGCATTTCTCACCTAGCTTTGCCCCTTACTAGCATTTCTCACCAACACATGTCTCCTATTGCAACGTATCTCAATATGAAGTGTCGTAGTTTAGTAGAACCTCTCGTGGGGCTGAAGCTTGACGTCGACCTCGCTAGCTTCCCAGAGGTGCCGCGCCAGCTTCCTCTGCTGCGCCAGCTCCGTCGTCGGGGTGTCCTGAAACACACACACAGTAGTCACACACACACACACACACATACACAAGGTAGTCCTACAGTGGCACGATAATAATAAAGTTATACTGGGTATGTAGACTACAGACAGCATCGTCATCAAGGTGGGTGTGTATACACTTACTGATTCTAGACAAAGATAACAACCTAGCCTATGCTAATACAAATACAAATATATATATATATATATATATATATATATATATATATATATATATATATATATATATATATATATATATATATATATATATATTAATTAGTATATTTTGGTAGCAGTCTTTCCTGTAGACATATATTATTAAATATGACCGAAAAAGTAAGATTAATAATTCTAACACGAATTTTTTCAATCTTTCGTACATTTCTTTTCACTGTTGGAGGTAATTCAAAAATCAATTCTCCAAAATTCATTTTTATTTCTAGTCTGACTCGACACTTGAGCGCGTTTCGTAAAACTTATTACATTTTCAAAGACTTTAGTTAACACATACACAACTGAATAGAACTTACACATCTCCGATTTTGTTTATATCTACATTTGAGTGAGGTGGATGGGGTGAGGTGGTATTTAATAAGGTATTACCTTATTATTACCTTACCTCAAGGTAAGGTAAGGTATTAATTTCATCAACACAAGCCAGAACATGAAACAATGGGTATTGAATAGAAGTGATTGTAGAAAGCCTATTGGTCCATATTTCTTGATGCTTCTATATTGGAGCGGAGTCTTGAGGTGGGTAGAATATAGTTGTGCATTAATTGGCTGTTGATTGCTGGTGTTGACTTCTTGATGTGTAATGCCTCGCAAACGTCAAGCCGCCTGCAATCGCTGTATCTATCGATGATTTCTGTGTTGTTTACTAGGATTTCTCTGGCGATGGTTTGGTTGTGGGAAGAGATTATATGTTCCTTAATGGAGCCCTGTTGCTTATGCATCGTTAAACGCCTAGAAAGAGATGTTGTTGTCTTGCCTATATACTGGGTTTTTTGGAGCTTACAGTCCCCAAGTGGGCATTTGAAGGCATAGACGATGTTAGTCTCTTTTAAAGGGTTCTGTTTTGTGTCTGGAGAGTTTCTCATGAGTAGGCTGGCCGTTTTTCTGGTTTTTATATATATATATATATATATATATATATATATATATATATATATATATATATATATATATATATGTCGTACCTAGTAGCCAGAACTCACTTTTTGGCCTACTATTCAAGGCCCGATTTGCCTAATAAGCCAAGTTTTCCTGAATTAATATATTTTTTCTATTTTTTTTCTTATGAAATGATAAAACAACCCATTTCATTATGTATGAGGTCAATTTTTTTTTATTGGAGTTAAAATTAACGTAGATATATGACCGAACCTAACCAACCCTACCTAACCTAACCTAACCTATCTTCATAGGTTAGGTTTGGTTAGGTAGCCGAAAAAGTTAGGTTAGGTTAGGTTAGGTAGGTTAGGTAGTCGAAAAACAAATAATTCATGAAAACTTGGCTTATTAGGCAAATCGGGCCTTGCATAGTAGGCTGAGAAGTGCGTTCTGGCTACTAGGTACGACATATATATATATATATATAATATACACACACACACACACTGGGTCGTTGGCGGGGAGATAGATGCGTCTTGCAAGCCGGCAAATATAATAACTTATTCTAGGTTTTATCAGATCTAGGATAGTTTATATTAGACCTAGAATAGGTCAAAATGTTGTCTTCATTTCTTTTTGTTTAAATAATTTAGGTTTTACACTACAATGTTAGTTAAGATATCTCTGGAATTTATTTGAAGTGAATTACTTAACCTATAACAAATCTTTTAACTCAGTTGGCCCAGATAAATTTCAAATGCTGGTACTGAACCTGCCCGAAACGCTGCGCGTACTAGTGGCTTTACAAGATTGTAAATATCATGCTATGTATCCTCACAAACCCAATGTATCTTCTTGTATATAAATAAATAAAACACATAAATAAATAAATAAGATACTAGATTTATAGGACTTGGTATTCGTACAAAAGAAGTACTCTTGATAACTAACACACACATGTAACAATAGAGGTACACTATTGAGGTTAACACTTAGAGAAGTACTAAGCGAAGCAGTACTCTGAGATACTCAACAGAACGAGCGTAAAGGAGGAGTTACCTTGCAGTCAACGAAGTAGTGACCGGAGACGTCCTCGACCTCCTCCGACACTGCCAGGTAAATCACAGGTTGAGCTCCAAGCTTGGCGTCCTGGAGGAGGGAAGAGAGAGAACATTGGAGGGTTAAGGAACTGTTGTATCTCGTTCTTCAGCAAGATACACAAGCACACACACACACAGACGCAAACATAAACACAGACACAAAGATTCACTCAGACACAAGCACACACACAAACACACAAACACACACACACACACACACACACACACACACACACACACACACACACACACACACACACACACACACACACACACACACACACACACACACACACACACACACACACACACACACACACACACACACACACACACACACACACACACACACACACACACACACACACACACACACACACACACACACACACACACACACACACACACACACACACACACACACACACACACACACACACACACACACACACACACACACACACACACACACACACACACACACACACACACACACACACACACACACACACACACACACACACACACACACACACACACACACACACACACACACACACACACACACACACACACACACACACACACACACACACACACACACACACACACACACACACACACACACACACACACACACACACACACACACACACACACACACACACACACACACACACACACACACACACACACACACACACACACACACACACACACACACACACACACACACACACACACACACACACACACACACACACACACACACACACACACACACACACACACACACACACACACACACACACACACACACACACACACACACACACACACACACACACACACACACACACACACACACACACACACACACACACACACACACACACACACACACACACACACACACACACACACACACACACACACACACACACACACACACACACACACACACACACACACACACACACACACACACACACACACACACACACACACACACACACACACACACACACACACACACACACACACACACACACACACACACACACACACACACACACACACACACACACACACACACACACACACACACACACACACACACACACACACACACACACACACACACACACACACACACACACACACACACACACACATACATATTCTAACACACTCACATTCACACATTCCCTCGCTAACACTTCTAAACAAACCCACTCTCAGATTCCAAAACACCCACACATTCGTGCACTCACATATACACTCACTCGCACATTAAGTCACTCACATCCCCTCACACTCACCTTGCCCATCAGATAGAAGAGCTTGCCGCACACCCAAGCGAATAAGGTCACTTGACCTTTGTAGAATATCTCCGTGGACACACACCCGGGATGGACACTGTTGGCTGTCACACCTGGCGGGGGGAGACACAGGTGTACAGCTCCAGTATGTAGGTGGCAGGTATATGACAAGCTCTTGCAAAGACTTGTAAAAAGTTAGCCCATCTAAATTATCGGGACTGTTTAAAAAACTATAAATCTAAATTCTTTAGAGCACAGGCGAGGAAAATACAGAATAATTTAAACTTGAATAATATTGGAGGGACTGGTTTCAGATGTGCAGGAGGAAGTCATACTACACGAGACCAGGAGGTAAGTACAAAATAGCCCCGATGAAAAGCAGCGGTGCGGGAGAAGTTGATTATAACCTTCAAAGGATTCCCCAATCAACTGGTGTGTGATTCATACGTCAGACAACGAGCAGCTGCGTCTAACAGCCTGGTTGATCAGACTACCAACCAGGAAGACTGGTCAGGGACCGGGCCATGGGGACATTGATGACCAGAACAAACAATAACAACAAGGGGAAATAATAATACTTCTTAATAAGAGACGAAGTTACATCAATTATATTATGGACACAAGTCGCATCGTAAACAAGACGGTTCGACCACGTATTATAACACCATCCCACCCATACCCAACCTTGTCTAACCTGAGCTAATACATCTTAACCCAGCACTATACAAGGTATTAACAAACAGAACGAGCTCTGCTCTGTCGAATCGCCTTGTTTACGATCTGGCCGTACCCCTAAAATACTTTGCGTCTCGTCCCATTACCCAGCCTGAGGCACTCCAGGTAGGTAGGTGCTCGTGTGTCGTCCTGAGTGTTCCCAAGCACTATAACTGTGCGCCCAACACACTACCTCTCCACCTAGTAATGCACCTCTATCTTCAGAAGACTACCACTACAGCTATTACCTCCTATCCATACAGAATCTTATCTGTAGCGCCCGACCTATGCGCTCAACATACACTACATTGTCCTACCTGTGCCCTCAACCTCCTACCTGAACTCCCAAGCTTCCTGCCTGTGTCCTCAGCCTCCTACCTGAACCTCCAAGCTTCCTGCCTGTGCCCTCAACCTCCTACCTGAACCCCCAAGCTTCCTGCCTGTGCCCTCAGCCTCCTACCTGAACCTCCAAGCTTCCTGCCTGTGCCCTCAACCTCCTACCTGAACCTCCAAGCTTCCTGCCTGTGCCCTCAACCTCTTACCTGAACCCCCAAGCTTCCTGCCTGTGCCCTCAGCCTCCTACCTGAACCCCCAAGCTTCCTGCCTGTGTCCTCAGCCTCCTACCTGAACCCCCAAGCTTCCTGCCTGTGCCCTCAGCCTCCTACCTGAACCCCCAAGCTTCCTGCCTGTGCCCTCAGCCTCCTACCTGAACCCCCAAGCTTCCTGGCTGTGCCCTCAGCCTCCTACCTGAACCCCCAAGCTTCCTGCCTGTGTCCTCAGCCTCCTACCTGAACCCCCAAGCTTCCTGCCTGTGCCCTCAACCTCCTACCTGAACCCCCAAGCTTCCTGCCTGTGCCCTCAGCCTCCTACCTGAACCCCCAAGCTTCCTGCCTGTGTCCTCAGCCTCCTACCTGTGCCCTGGAGCTTGCTGGTGAGGTCGAGGGTGAAGAGGATGTTACAGAGCTTGCTCTGGCCGTAAGCCGTCATGGAGGTGTAGTCGTCCCGCTCGAAGTTGAGACTGTCCGGGTTGAGTCTACTGACGTAGTCGTGGCTGTCGGAGGTGACGTTGATGATTCGGCTCGGGGCGCTCTTCTTCAGGAGACCTGCCGGAGGAGAGGTCGGTGTACAGGGTCTTGCTGCTTGGGTTTTGCTACGAAGGGCGAACAGTGTACAGTGTCTCGTCACCACACAGTATACAGTGTCTCGTCACCACACAGTGTACAGTGACTCGTCACCACACAGTGTACAGTGTCTCGTCACCACACAGTGTACAGTGTCTCGTCACCACACAGTGTACAGTGACTCGTCACCACACAGTGTACAGTGTCTCGTCACCACATAGTGTACAGTGTCTCGTCACCACACAGTGTACAGTGTCTCGTCACCACACAGTGTACAGTGTCTCGTCACCACACAGTGTACAGTGACTCGTCACCACACAGTGTACAGTGACTCGTCACCACACAGTGTACAGTGACTCGTCACCACACAGTGTACAGTGTCTCGTCACCACACAGTGTACAGTGACTCGTCACCACACAGTGTACAGTGACTCGTCACCACACAGTGTACAGTGACTCGTCACCACACAGTGTACAGTGTCTCGTCATCACGGAACCATGGCCAACCTTTTATGACCCGGCTATCTCTAATGGCTCTGCATTGAATATTATTTATTAATTTCTGGTCATTAAAACATGTATATGTCCACAATAATATTCCCAGAGTTTATACTATACAAGCAACATTGACATTTAGAATTATACTAAGATGATTTCCAAAATATGTGTCTGATACATGGGGGAATTCTTTTAGGTTTGGTTGACAGTCAAAGTTCCTGAAATCACGCAGGTTTTTCGCCAATGTCGCCAAACATTGTTTCAAAATACTGTCAACTGTGGTTGAGGTGAAGATGGCGAGGGTAGGTGGAGGCGGCGAGGGTAGGTGGAGGCGGAGAAGGGTAGGCGGAGGCGGGAAGGATTGGTGGAGGCGGCGAATGTAGGTGGAGAGAGAAGGAGGTGAGGATAAGATGCAGGAGAGGAAGGTTAGGGTCACACGGAGGAAGGGAAGCGTCACTTACCCAGCAGGAGGTTGGTGAGGAGGAAGTGGCCGTAGTGGTTGGTAGCCATGGTGAGCTCCAGGCCGTCCGCGGTGACCTCTCGTCTGGGTGGACCCATGATCCCAGCGTTGTTGATCTGAGGCCAGCCCTTCACTCTCTTAGTTACTGACAATTAGTAAACGTATATTCTCCAAATTATAATCAATTTTGTTTTTGAGATCAAGCTTTCGCTCTCTGATTCCGTCTCTCAACCCGCAACAACTGGTATACAGGTTCCCGAGCCTTTTAGGCACTGTCTTAAATAACATTGTATACCACACCGTCCGTCGTGGCTGTTCGTTAGTATTTTGTATATCTTTCTTCTCTCTTACGATGATGTCAGGCTCAGTTCCTTAAATCATTCTCAGTTCCTTAAATCAAGTCGAGCGGGTAGCGCAGATGTCTTGCCTCACAATCCGTCATTATAACCGTACATACAACGTCAGACTAATAACTTGAGGGGCTTTTATGAGTGTGAACTTGAAACAACCGGAAGTTACCACTTTCGTGAGGATGAGCCAACAAGTAGTTCCTACGGTGTAATTAGTCATGTTTTCGGTAAAAGTTTTTACTTTTGAATTGGAGAACTACACCAAAGACAACACCTTCCCCAGAGAATCTTAACTAAGCTTACTAAAGTGATCAGAAGCTCCCTTATGTTCAAAGGCTTCCTTCCCAGTCTTAACTAAGCTTAAGCAAGTAACCTCGCTCTCTCTAATTATATGTAGCTTTAACTTCGTCAACTTTATCGCCAACTTCTCTCTCCAGTTGTTGATAAATCTCGCCAAGCATTTATAGATAAGAGATTGAAGTGTTAATTAGATTGAATAAGTCTATCATTAGCGTTAATATCGTCTAGCCAGACGGGCGATGACCCCAGGCCACCCAATCCCAACCTAAATTCCCATACCAACCCCAGGCAACACATTCCCAACCACAAACCCAGACCACCCAATACCTACTCCAACCCCAAGCCACCCATGGGTGGCTTCACGGGCGCCTGACAACTGGGTGGACAGCGCTTCGGATTCATAGTCCTGAAGTTCCGGGTTCGATTCCCGTTGGAGGCGGAGACAAATAAATGGGCAAAATGTTTATTTCACCCTGATGCCCCTGTTACCTAGCAGTATAAAGGTACCCTGGAGTTAGACAGCTGCTACGGGCTGCTTCCCGGGGATGTGTAACAAAAAGGAGGCCTGGTCGAGGACCGGGCCGCGGGGACGCTGAAGCCTCGAAATCACCTCAAGATAACCTACACCATACCCCAACCCCAGGCAACCCAGCCCCAACCTCAATTCCTATACCAACCCCAGGACACCCATTCCCAACCTCAATCCCAGACAACCCAATTCCACCCTCAATTTCAGTACTAACCCCAGGTAACGCAATACCTACTTCAGCCCCAAGCCACGCCAATCATACCTCTACCCCAGACAATTCATTCCCTACCTCAACCTCATACCGTCCAATTCCAACCTCAATTCCAATAGCAGCCCCAAGTCACCCCGGTCCTGCCTCAACCTGGGGTATATCCCACACCTAACCAACCCTTCTCGGTCCTAGCAACTCCCAGCAACGTTATCCTGCCCCAGGGGCCACCCAATTCCTGTAGCCTTTCTTCCAACACACCGGGAATTATGAGTCTAATTCCTAAGATGACCCTGCCGACACTCATAGGTACGGAGTTGCCGTCCAATAAGGTGGAACGCAACCGCCGAGTGGAGGACTGGTTGTGGAAGAGGAGAGCAATGCTGGAGGGTCCCAAATGATGGACTAAAGATAATTCTCGCCACAGGGGGTTTGCGTGGACGTAGCTGGTAAACTGGCGAGGCTGAAAGAGTTTCGGCACCTGACGACGTGGCCTCAGTTTGTCCAGGCGATTAGAGACAAGTATAAAGAGGAAGTTTCGGCAGATGAGGCTCCACGGGAGACATCTCCCGTCACGCAGGGTGCAGTCGCACCTCCACAGATCTCCAGTATCAGCTCTTGATACTGGTAATGGCTCAAAAGGGACACCACTTACGGGCTATTCAAGCCCGTGCCACCTTTTGAGTGGCTTAATCTTTCTCAATCAATCAATCAGATGAGGCTCAATTATACCTTCAGTCCCTTAAGAAGGAAGACTGAGAGTACCCTGATAATGAGGAGGGTTGACGACCTTACCCAGGAACTGGGGTACGATGAGGGTCAGGCGGATGGCTTAGCTAAGTACTTGTTCTCTAGGGCTTTACTTACTACCATGGGTCCATTCATATCTGCGGAAGGGGCGTTATTGAGTTTCAAGCAACTCGTCCAACACGCTGCCACAGTATGGGACTTATGAATGAGAACGGAGAGGACTGGGGCTCACACGGGAGACATTTCCCGTCACGCAGGGTGCAGTCGCACCTCCATAGATCTCCAGTATCAGCTCTTGATACTGGTAATGGCTCAAAAGGGCCGCCACTTACGGGCTATTCATGCCCATGCCACCTTTTAGGTGGCTTAATCTTTATCAATCAATCAATCAACTGGGGCTCAGTCGTCCCCATATGTTGAGGCGGTACAGAAAGAAGAGGGAGGGGGGGGGAGACGAATGACTATAGAGTGGGTTCGTCAAGTAAGAAACCGATCACTGTTGCACGTTCGGGCCATCCTGCATGGGGGTACCAATTGGGACTTGCGGGCGTGTTATTCTCTTGGGGTAGGTCATCCCTTCCCCCAAGGGATTAGAGCTCATGTGTAGAAAACAGTAGCGCCACTTGGACCCTGTGTCGAGCTATCAAACTAGGATAATAATTAATGCATTAAAGAAATAGTAGGAAGAAACAATCATGGTTAAGTACTTATGTTAAAATTAACGGCAATTAAGAATAAAGAATAAGCCTTGTATGTTATCAAAGAAGCATGTGACTTCAGTAAGAATATGGTATCAAGTTACTTGGAAAATAAGTACCTCCCAGCTTGCTTGTTAATTTATGTAAATTAGTAAAATGCAAGTGCTCTTGAATATTATAATTAGCCTGGCTCGAGTATCTAGATAATTTCCAATTGTTTTGGAATAATAAGTCACTTCAGTGACGAGTACAGAAGTTTAGTAATCTTCTTCAAAGATTAATTTGGCAACTGAGCTAGGGTCAGCCTCACAGAAATCAGTGGAGAAATAAGTCAGTGTGGACTGGTTAGCAACTGGAGGCAGACTGCTCCCCTGGAACCGAGGCAGAATATCTAGGCCTGGCTGTGGTATTTTAAGGTATCTGTGTCTGAGTTATTTCAGTTGTAGAATCCACATTATTTGTTGTAGTCAATTACCAATTGCCTCAGTTAGGAATATATTCAGTTTAGGAAGTGTTCAGATAGGGCGTGTTTTTTTTATTTTCTTTGATAATCTTTGTTTAATAAATTTTGTTTAGAATTTATGGTATTTAGTGGAATTCCCCCAACCGTTATTATTCTTCTTTCGGTTGATGGGCTCAAGCCCCATGCTTGGGACTAGCACCCTCTGCAAGCCTGCAAGCAATTATTTAATACCTCAGATAATCCCTTTGTTCTTTGATTTAATTCCACACTTAATGTAAATCTTATCCCTCCTTTTCTGATAACTGGGGATCCAATTTCGGGATTTATGCCTAATTGACGGTATCCTGCTTCACCGTCAATTGGGGGAATTATTCAGTGGGTATATGAGCAGGTGATGGCGGCGTCTCAGAGGGTGGCAGTGTAGCATAGAAGGGTACGGTGTCCTCGGGTCTCAGAGGGTGGCAGTGTAGCACAGAAGGGTACGGTGTCCTCGGGTCGTGATATCTAAACGATCAAACGTTTTAGATCTCGAGGAGTTGAACTGAAAGTTACACAACAGAACTCTGGTCTGAAGATTTACTTTATAACGACCAGCATTTAACCAGTAAGGGAGGTAAAAGGCTGGTCCCCCGTTACACTATTGAAGAATGTCATTATGATTATTGCTTTCAACTTTCCAGCCTTAGGCTATATTTGGTGTTTATTAGGCTTTATTTGTTTCAGTATTTTATATTTTCTTACAAGTTTAACATAAACTACTTTAACATAAATTTGTTCATTTAACATAAACTTTGAATGCAGGAGTGAGAATAATGGTGAGTAATCTCTATGGCTTAAGTAGATTAGGAACAGGCTAGACTGGTTCTATAATCAACTTAAATCACAACAAGCTGTCTAGCTGGCTGCGATGGGGGGGGGGGGTCACCAGCCACTCATCGGCACAGGGAACTTTTGTGAACCAAGAAGTGGCTCATCAAAACGGAGGACCTCTACACACACACACGAAGACGTCTTAAAATATCTCACCAAGACGAATGACTTTTACGAATGATACCATACTGGAGTACTTGTCAAGTGACTCACGAAGACGTGAAGAGTCTCACTAAGATGTAGAGTGACTCACCAAGATGTGAACGGACTCACCAAGAAGTGGAGGGACTCTCCAAGATGTATAGTAACTCACCACGACGTGGAATGACTCACCAAGATGTGGAGGGACTTCTCGTTTTCGAGGATCTTCCTAGCGAACTCTCTGACGGAGGCGAGGTCGGAAGTGTCAAGTCTGCGGACCTCAACCTCCCCGCGGTAGTTGGTCGCTACCCGGATCTCAGCTGGTGGGGTCAAGTACAGCTTACAGTTGTCTTGTGGTGTTATAATGTCTTGTGGTGTTATAATGTCTTGTGATGTTATGGATGTCTCGTGGTGTTATAATGTCTCATGATGTTATGGATGTCTCGTGATGTTATGGATGTCTCGTGATGTTATGATGTCTCCTGATGTTATAATGTCTCGTGATGTTATGGATGTCTCGTGATGTTATGGATGTCTCGTGATGTTATGGATGTCTCGCGATGTTATGGATGTCTCGTGATGTTATGATGTCTCCTGATGTTATAATGTCTCGTGATGTTATGATGTCTCGTGATGTTATGGACGTCTCATAATGATATGGTTATGTAATTATGTGGTGATTATCTCATGATATGATGGTTGTCTCTTGATGAGTTAGTTGAACATTATACATTTGACAGAAATCGTATGAGTGAAAGCAGAAGACACTATAAAAACAACTAGTGATTGTGATTAACACAAGCTTGCACTGAGGTTGTCCCTCTGTGAGAACATGTTAAATTTGCTTCAAAATCATTGACGGTTGATGTAAGTTTGATGTTTAATAGCCTGAAAAAGTTACACTGAAAATCATGTTGTATTGTTATTTATAATTTAAATAATGGCTAAGCACTTTAAAATATAATATATGGGCAAATAGCATTTTCTGTTTTGCCAGGAGAAAGTGCTAAGCCATTATGACTATATAATATTTGGACAAGGATAAGCTGGGATATGAGGACGGTGTATAACCACTTGGAATCGAACGCCAACCTTGCAGTCCGATGGGGATATAGAGTGGAAGCTTCACCGTATAATGTGAAACAATATACAAATTGTGACCTCTTGGATGATATTATCAGAACCTTTAATGACCGGACGCCTAACTTAAGAGGGGTTCCTGAGACTAAAGATGGGTTCCTGAGACTTAAGATGTGTTGTGCAAGTTAGGATTGATTGATGAAGATTAAGTCACCCAAAAAGTGGCACGGGCATGAATAACCCGTAAGTGGTGGCCCTTTTGAGCCATTACCAGTATCAATAGATGATACTGGAGATCTGTGGAGGTGCAACTGCACCCTGCGTGACGGGAGATTTAATGCTTGCCACGGGAGATTTCTCCCGTGGCAAGTTAGGGATCACATCTGGGTTATCTCTGTCCCACTTGATACCTGGAGCCCCTGCTGTTAACTCCCTTCCCTTGGGTTGTCCAGGTACAGGACCTATCTTGATTTACCTGGAGTCCTTCACAGCGTTTTACTTCTTCCTCGCCTGAGTCCTTCGAGTCTCATGTACCGCTCACTCTTGGCATCCTTCATACACCTGTGTTACCACCTCAATAGTTCCTAGCGTCCTTGTACAGGTAATGCTATAACCCGACTTTATCCTTGGCATCCTTCTAAAAATCTAAGGAGATGACATTGACCGGGTAAGGATCTCATTACGCCCTACTCTTCTCTTACCCCTACTATCACTATCCCGGTTTATCCTATCCTAACTTCTTCATATCCTATAATCATCCAAGGGCTCATTCTACAGTCTATTCCTGACTCACGCTACAACCAATCCGTTGCAAATTCTACAAATAATCCATTGCTCATCCCACATCCAATCCCTCGCTCATCCTACAACCATTCCCTCGCTCATCCAACAACCAATCCCTCGCTCATCTCACAACCAATCCCACACTCGTCCAACAACCAGTCCCACATCCCTGAACACTTAACGCAGACATGACTTACCTTCGTCCAGTCATCCTGCTCCTAGTCGAACACCTGACAACTTTCCCTCCTACAGTCAGCCTGCCAGAGACGAGGTACTCACTTGCCACTTTGTCAGCCTTCTCCACGTTCCTGCAGGCCATGATGACCCTCGCCCCACGTCCTGCCAGGTCCTTGGCCGTCTCCTTCCCTATCCCTGCCAGGATCAACACGTCACGATAATTAACCAATGAAGCTACTAAAGTTACTCTTGCAGAGCGTAAAGGGAAAGATGAGAGAAATGTAAGGAAATATTTATACCCACTATGGGTGGTCAACAAGTGGAGATGTGCCGGCAGAAGAAGTTGTGGAAGCCACCTCCATCTACAACGTTAACGCCAGGCTTGACAAAGGAATTTGAACGTCTATAATAGTTGAATTATAACACAACAGGTAACTCAACCTCAAAAACTGGGTGGGGGTGTAAACAGCTAGACCTCAATTTCGCGTAGTCATTGGAAGATAAGCACTTGATGCAAATTTCTCCTATTTATATAACCCCGTTCTCTCTAATGCAGCGTATTAAGGAAAGTAACTTAACAAATATTTACATTTTCTATGCATCTGGCTCGATGGGTTAAATCACAAAAATCAGATGGGTTTACAATGTGGTTTTTCTGCATACTTGGAAAACTCATCCTACAATGGTCCCCAGTTGCATATATGCCTGAGGACCATTCAGGCTTGTTCGCAATTGTGTTCCTCACGTGTACCCCAAAGAATGAGGTGATTTGATAAAATACCATGCCCAAGATTACCATCAGAGTGCCGGCGGGATGATGCGGAATTAGCCTCGGCTACCATCATCTTTTGTCCGGTCGTGATGGTCGAGGGGTTAAGGGGTCCTGTACACCAGTTGCAGAGTGCTCCTAGCAGCATGAGTTCGAGTCACTTCTGGGGTGTGAGTTTTCAGTTTATATATATATATATATATATATATATATATATATATATATATATATATATATATATATATATATATATATATATTAGTATATTTTGGTAGCAGTCTTTCCTGTAGACATATATTATTAAATATGACCGAAAAAGTAAGATTAATAATTCTAACACGAATTTTCTCAATCTTTCGTACATTTCTTTTCACTGTTGGAGGTAATTCAAAAATCAATTCTCCAAAATTCATTTTTATTTCTAGTCTGACGCGACACTTGAGCGCGTTTCGTGAAACTTATTACATTTTCAAAGACTTTAGTTAACATATACACAACTGAATAGAACTTACTGAATAGAATAGAACATCTCCGATTTTGTTTATATCTACATTTGAGTGAGGTGGATGGGGTGAGGTGGTATTTAATAAGGTATTAATTTCATCAACACAAGCCAGAACATGAAACAATGGGTATTGAATAGAAGTGATTGTAGAAAGCCTATTGGTCCATATTTCTTGATGCTTCTATATTGGAGCGGAGTCTTGAGGTGGGTAGAATATAGTTGTGCATTAATTGGCTGTTGATTGCTGGTGTTGACTTCTTGATGTGTAATGCCTCGCAAACGTCAAGCCGCCTGCTATCGCTGTATCTATCGATGATTTCTGTGTTGTTTACTAGGATTTCTCTGGCGATGGTTTGGTTGTGGGAAGAGATTATATGTTCCTTAATGGAGCCCTGTTGCTTATGTATCGTTAAACGCCTCGAAAGAGATGTTGTTGTCTTGCCTATATACTGGTTTTTTTGGAGCTTACAGTCCCCAAGAGGGCATTTGAAGGCATAGACGACGTTAGTCTCTTTTAAAGCGTTCTGTTTTGTGTCTGGAGAGTTTCTCATGAGTAGGCTGGCCGTTTTTCTGGATACAACTGACGATTTACTATAAAACCAGAAAAACGGCCAGCCTACTCATGAGAAACTCTCCAGACACAAAACAGAACGCTTTAAAAGAGACTAACGTCGTCTATGCCTTCAAATGCCCTCTTGGGGACTGTAAGCTCCAAAAAAAAACCAGTATAACATCTCTTTCTAGGCGTTTAACGATGCATAAGCAACAGGGCTCCATTAAGGAACATATACTCTCTTCCCACAACCAAACCATCGCCAGAGAAATCCTAGTAAACAACACAGAAATCATCGATAGATACAGCGATTGCAGGCGGCTTGACGTTTGCGAGGCATTACACATCAAGAAGTCAACACCAGCAATCAACAGCCAATTAATGCACAACTATATTCTACCCACCTCAAGACTCCGCTCCAATATAGAAGCATCAAGAAATATGGACCAATAGGCTTTCAACAATCACTTCTATTCAATACCCATTGTTTCATGTTCTGGCTTGTGTTGATGAAATTAATACCTTATTAAATACCACCTCACCCCATCCACCTCACTCAAATGTAGATATAAACAAAATCGGAGATGTTCTATTCTATTCAGTAAGTTCTATTCAGTTCTGTATATGTTAACTAAAGTCTTTGAAAATGTAATAAGTTTTACGAAACGCGCTCAAGTGTCGCGTCAGACTAGAAATAAAAATGAATTTTGGAGAGTTGATTTTTGAATTACCTCCAACAGTGAAAAGAAATGTACGAAAGATTGAGAAAATTCGTGTTAAAATTATTAATCTTACTTTTTCGGTCATATTTAATATATATATATATATATATATATATATATATATATATATATATATATATATATATATATATATATATATATATATATAATTAAGATTAAATTAGGCTACCGTTACCTGTGACAAGTTGTTGCTGCAAGTCCCGAATTTCCCAATCCCGAGCCCTCGCAAACTTTGCAACCAGGAACTTCGCCATACTCACCAGCATTTCTTTATTGAAACTACAAATCACTATATTCTTCAGACTTGCTATTATGAGGTACCTGGAACCATGCAATTACTTTATCCGGTCTCGTGTTCTTGAGGTTATCCTCATAACCCATCCAAATTTGCCCCAAGATGAATGAGGTTATATTAAACGACAGAACGCCGGGACCAGGAATTGAAGGCCATTTCTTCAGCTGTTAGATAAGAACCTCCAACCCGCTCTCGCACAAGACAACACATATATGATTTATTGCTTATGGTCACTATTTAGCTTATAAATAAGTACATATGTGACATATTCCAAGCCATATTTTTTCAAGGCACTAACTTTTCCTCTCAGTTTTATTAAACAATAGAGATTTTATACAAAATTTGACAATATCCTGAGTTACTTTACAATTTGTTTAAATATTTTAGTTTTGTTTTATTATTTTTATAAAACTGTAATATCAATATAGGTATAGGTTCAGTACTAATTGTAATATCTTAACATACTAAGAAGGTTAGGTTAGGTTGTGGTGTTCTATTCAGCATTTCAAGGTAAACTTAAATATTCATAATAAATTAGTATGTCGCATATGCACTTATTCATAAGCAAGATATTGACTATAAGTAAGGCAGCAGAGATTACGCTGCAGGAGCCCCACCAGCAGAGACTACACTGCAAAAGACCCACCACAGAAGAGACCAACCTGCAGAAGCGCCGGTGATGATGACAGTCTTGCCGTCTAGCGTGGTGGAGGAGTTGCAGCGGCCGGAGAGCCATCGGTACACCACACGGACGGTGACCACCAGCACCAGCACCACCAGCGCCGCCGCCTCCAACATCCTCACTCCTCTACACCGGACACAAACACAACATGTAAGTACACCCATACTGATCGTACCAATACTCAGAATTATACAACTAGGAAATGATAAACATAATAATGATGATATTTCAAGAAAGGTTAGTTTATGTCCCTAGTCTTGAGAGATGAGTTTACGTTGCTGTTCTTAAGTGAGAGATGAGTTTATGTCATTGTTCTTGAATGAGAGATGGATTTACGTTGCTGTTCTTGAGCGAGCGATGAATTTACATCGTTCTTGAATGAGAGATGAGTGTAGGTCTGTTATGACCACACATACACCAGCGTGATAATACTGTGCATGTGTATGATGCGGTCAAACTGTATAGTAAAATATTAGTTGATTAGCCTAATATTACCATTACTCATGTCTCTGTAATCTCTTTTTGGAAATACGCTAGTTCATAGCAGAAGCTTAAGGTCATGTTTCATACAACTATCATTACATGTCTATGTATTGGAATGTTATATAGGACATGCTAGAGGTATTATGAGATTGTGTATATATTATTATTATGTAGATTTATATACTTGAGGTATGACTAGTGGATATACTGTGATCTAAGTCTTAAACAACGTAGGTATAACGATCGACCGGTAACTGCTGGCAATCCGCCCATATCCCCCCCCCCCACCTTTGGTGAACCGTCTCCAGCCAGTATTATCAGGTGTAATAGAAATGACTTCTTTATGTATTTTAGCATATATCGTGATATATTCTTGTATACCTTGAGTTTTGATTTGTACTCTCCTGTGGAGAATATTGTATACACTTAGGTATTGTATGAATTAGAATTAATATTTGGGTTTTGAGCTTCTGATATGTGAAGGAGGAAAGTTGGGGGTGACTCGCCATGTTGGTAACAAAGTCGTTCTCGGCCGGCTCGGCCCTCGGCCAGTCACTACCCTCTTGATATCCTAGATAGGCGGACGTGGCACGTCCAGCTCTTGAGTTGTGCTGTATTTTGTTTATTGTTTACTAATGTGTGTGTGTGTGTATATGTATATATGTATATATGTATATATGTATATATGTATATATATATATATATATATATATATATATATATATATATATATATATATATATATATATGAGTAATGCTGTTCTTACAGTGGATCAGGCTACCGAGGTACATCAGTTATGCCAGGTGGTGATTTTGTGTTGAGATGGGTATCTGAGGATCGTAAGTGATTGTTATTGTGTGGTAGTATGTTAGTGATTCCTCGCCCACTATTTATTAACAGTTGAGCAATTCCCAGCTGTCTGGGTACAAGTGACAGGATGAACAACCCAGCGGGTTTTCTTCCTTTTGGGGAGTGTTGTACATGCTGCGATGGCGGTATGTCCAGTCACAGGATGAGTGGCGCTGCCCAATAAACTCGCCCCTCGGGGTAAAATTTAAATGTATGACACCACCGACCTGTTACGTGGGTTAGTGTACCACTGCGCCGGGTTGGTGTCAGGTAGTCCCGAGTGTGTGCAGGTAATGCCTGTTACTGATTTCGAGAGCTGTGTTTAAGCTCCTTATTGTTATTAGAGTATCATTTGTAGAGACTTGAGTTTCTTATTGTTTTACTGTGACCTGTTTTATATCCCAGTAAACTGGCGTTGTTTTAACGAGCCTTTTTCACTTTACCCTAGACACATATTGAAACTTGGCGAGGTTATGGTTGGCCAGCGAGGCTGTGGATCATGTTATGACAACGTCGTTGGTCTTGAACGAGTGATGAGTTTACGTCGTTCTCGAATGGATTGGTTTACATTTACTGTTCTTGCAGGCGATGAGTCACAATAAGTGCCTGAAGATATGATGACCAAACCATATCTTGCAGATATGGAAATCGAAGAAACGACGTTTCGGTCCGTCCTGGACCATAATCCAGTCATGAAACTCGATAATGTTCCAGGACAAATCGAAACGTCTTTGTTTCTTCAATTTCTGGTGAAAAAATCACTTTGTCCCAAGGGTCGAGTTTATTGGGCAGAGCCAGTCATTCTGTCTGGTGTGTTGCTTGGTAATCATTACTGTTCTTGAGTGAGAAATGTTTGTTTATGTTCTTGAGTAAGAGATTGATTTACATTGCTGTTCTTTAGTGAGATAAGTTTACGTAAACAAATAGTTTCACAAATGCAGGTTGAATCACTGATTCTCTTGCTCAATACAATGAAGAACTGGTAGTGTGGGGATCTGAGAAATATTAGTATCCGGTCCTATAACTTTTTTAAAAAATAGCCGATTGTTTAAGTTACATTACTGAGCAGGATCTGTGTGAGGATCATTCCATGACGAGGTGAAGGTGGGAAGGCTGGCAGGAGCAGAGTGAGGAGCACCTCTCTCTGGAGGTGCTCCCAAACACCTTCAACCTCCCTCCGGGTGTTTGTTGACCAGAGGTGATGATGTCGTCTGTTTAACATCTCGTCCGGACGCACCACCTTTGTTTATGTGCTGGCGCCTTTAATGATCTCCTGCGTCGTTAGCCGCGGGGCCCATAAAAACTCTAGACAAAAACCTCGTCAATAGCTCCCATTGACTGGGATAATGAGACCGTTGATATTTTAATTGAGTCCACTAATGAGGAGCGCTCTTCAGTGGGTTTGACACGTGCTGCAGCTGCAATGTTTACACGGAACTCGTACACAACACTGAATGACACGTGCAAATTATCTTTATTACGAGGTAATAATTTATGCCTAAAGTTTTTCCACTCTTAGGGACCCTAGGCCAACGACTGTAAACGAAACCTGCCCAAGCATCTCCGTCCTGCTCTATTCAGGAATCGAACCCGGGACCTTTGGATTGTGAACAGACTTTCCGCTAACTACTGCGCTACACTCTTCATGTTCCAACCCGTCCTCTCGAAATAGCACATCGCATTTTGATGTATAAATCCCCAAAGAAAAAAATGTGATGCACTAAAAATCAAAGCGGCTCGCAAAATTGACGTGATATGTCGTTTTCTGTTCATGGGTCCTCTGGTAGGTTAGGATAAGACACTTTAGTACGACTATTTCTTGACGTTATGAACACCCGGGAGAACGAACTGATTTAATGCATCATTTTAGCGACGTTGTCAACGCTGGAGAAGACAGGCTGCTGGGAAAAAACTGACCTTAAGAGTGGCAGCAGCGGAGCGAAGAACGAGAAGTTGCTCCCAGCAGCAGAGTCTGCGGACGTCTGCGGCCAGCACCCACCCACTCCCCCTCACGCTTGGCCATGATAAGTGCTCTCAGTCGGGTTATCAACACTCTCGTATGCCCAACACGGGACCCGGAAAACGCCATTCACCAAAAAAATAAGAGATTAATTTGCCCACGATCGATAGTAACAGGAATGCGAGTTAGAGTTATAAAATATGAAGATGCTACGAAGATGTCTATTTAAAGGTGGTGATTGGTCACTAGATGGTTCACCTGGCAGGTTATGGCAAGGGAGCCGAGGACAAATTAGGTGCGAGCCCCATGGCCAGAGTCAACACGGCCACTGGCCACGCAGGCAAGATCGCAGCCGTCGGCCACACCCTTGTCCATCATCCCACCACCATATCCCACCTCCACCTTCTCCACCTGTTCCAGCCACTTCCTCGGCCCTCTCCTCCACCTGTCCGTCACCCCTCCTTCTCTTTACAGTAGCTGTAAGTGCATGGAAGGTATACTGTCTAGGTCCTTGTGAAAAGATTGGAGTCGTGGAGTTTGTGGTTGAATGCAGAGGTTTAGCACTGAAAACTATCAATCATATTCCAAGTTTCTGTGTCTCACTCTTTTTTTTTTCTTTTTCACAAGTAGGTAGAAAAGTAAACGACTTCCGACTCCTGTTTGGGGACCTTCCCCCCCCCCCCTCCCATAAAAAGGATAGTTTATCCTTTCCCATAAAATTTTAAATTTTACCCCGAGGGGAGGGGGGGGGGAGTTTATTGGGCAGCGCCACTCATCCTGTGTTTGTGGTAAACCTTTCCCTACCAATTTTACCTTGAACACGACCAACCAATCTCTCTCTCTCTCTCTCTCTCTCTCTCTCTCTCTCTCTCTCTCTCTCTCTCTCTCTCTCTCTCTCTCTCTCTCTCTCTCTCTCTCTCTCTCTCTCCCCTTATATCAAGTTAATACACAAGTCCAACAACAACTATTTGCGTCCAACCCTCCTCATTTTAGCCTGATGGCAAGGTCACGGAGTCATGGGAGAGACCAGGAAAGAAAGAGGGGAAGAGAGATGAAGCTGGTGGTCCAGTGTTCCTTGGGAAGGGATGGGGTGGGGGGGGGAGGAAGTGAGGTGCCAACTGTAGCCAATCAGAACGAACTTCATGCACTGTCGCTAGGGCGCTGTTGCCAGATATAGGTCACCCACAAAGCCTCGTATGAGCGCATGTGTTGACAGTGGGGAGGCGCCCAACAGTTACAGCCCCGCTCCTGTGCCAGGTAAGTACGTCGGCATCACCATAGCCCGTGCTGCTTGGAACTTTTTGTTCAGGGTTGCTGAATCTAAAACAACAACATGGGGAGGCGACAGTTGCCGTCACCAAACAGTAAAAACCTCCACAACGATGTTAATTCGTTTTATAAATTGTGTGCATCTTTTCGTGAACTTTGTTAAACAGTGATGCCACCTTACTAACTCCAGCAGTCCCCCTGGAGCCATAGGTCAGGTAAGGTAATTTATGAGGAGAAAGCGCGAAGCCAGTTTGACTGGCAAAAAGTTATTATTAAAGATCTCGACAAGTTTGTTTCACTGGCGTGACACAATAATCATTAACACCTGTGCAGGAACAGTCACACAACATGTATAACGTTGCTAGGAAATGCTGTTAAATTCACAAAATAACAATAACAACAATTTCACTGTTAATCTCTCACGATTGCTGGACCACAATGACATGGCCTTCGCTGCCACAGAAGAAAAGCAAATCGATGATTCGCGAAACCTTTCGACAAATGCTCACAAGGTGTTATTGCACACTAAATTACTGACAAAGCAGGGAGATTGATTTTTAATTTCCTAACTAACAGAACCCAGTGTGCTTTTTTTTCCTCTCCCATAAAAGACAGGAGAAAATGTGAACATGTAAACTGTTTAATAACGTAAAAAGATTAAAATCTGGGTCATCCACCGTGAAAAGCTCAGTCCACCAAGGTACTGTGCTTGCTCCGGTATACCTGTGTCCCGTACTCTCATCCTCATATCGGACATGTACAAGGATACGAACTATAATACTGTATCATCCTTTGTAGATGTCACTAAAATTTTTATGAGAGTAAACAATATAGAGGACACAACAAACCACAAAACTGATGGTCTTCAATGGGCCACATACAATATTATGATGTTTAGTGAAGATTAGTTCCAGCTCCTGTGCTGTGGAAAAACGAAAAAGATAACAACGGAAACCCACATATAAAATGTAGTCAAATCACACTATCGAACGAAAATGCAATATAAAAAACTTGGGAGAGTAATAATGTCGAGAACCTTACTTTTAAAGAACATAATAGAGTAGCCGACACAACTGCTGGAAAACTGGCGTGTTGGATAACCAGAATCCTTCAAACAAGAGATGCTATACTAATGGTGATACTTTTCAAGACGTTAGTGCTCTCTAGGGGTGGGATACTATTTCACACTAACAGCCCCTTTCATAGCTGGAGAAATTGCTGATCTGGACAACGTGTAAAGGTCTTTTATTGCGTGAATCCACTCAATAAACATCTAAAGTCACGCGATTGCTTAAAAATGTCTAGTCTTTATTCTCTACAGCGCAGATGGGAGAAATATATAATAATTTACACTTGGAAGATATTAGAGGGACTGGTTCCAAATCTGTACACAGAAATAACTATTCATGAGACCAGAAGGCATGGCAGGATGTGAAAAATAGCAGAGGTGTTAAACAACAGAGGTGCAGTAGGTACGCCCAGAGAAAACTATCAACATTGAAGGCCCAAGACTTCTCAACACTGGGGTGCAGTCGCACCTCCACAGATCTCCAGTATCAGCTCTTGATATTGGTAATGGCTCCAAAGGGCCACCACTTACGGGCTATTCATGTCCGTGCCACCTTTTGGGTTGCTTAAACTTCATCAATCAGTTCTCAACACTCTCCCTCTACACATAAGGGAAATATCCGGCGAACTCTCGCAGTGTTCAAATGAAAACTTGATAAACATCACCAAAGAATACCTGTGAGTCATACGTCAGGCTACGAGCAGCCACGTCCAACAGTCTGGTTAACCAGACCGCCAACCGGGAAGCCCGGTCAGCGACCGGGCCGAGGGGTACAATGATCCTCGGAACCATCGCAAGGTATAGTAAGTTACTCATTATGCACATCATCGTTGTTGATCAACATGACTGGCGCCACGACGTCGAGGCCGTCGCTGACACACTAAATAACCTAACAAACTACACATACAGTACTATGCAATATTTGGATAACAACATTAAATATGATGCTGATAATATTTCATAACAAATGGAGAACACCTTAAGCATCCCAGCCGGTGGTGATCCCCTCGTCAACACTGACCTGTACACTGTGTGTGTGTTGGTCTGTCTGCACTGACAGGTAAGTGTTGATAAATAAGTACAGGAAGCGTACAATCACCCCATCCCACCACCCCTCCACTCCTCGCCACCCCTTTCCACTCCCCACCTCCCCTTCCACTTCCCGCCACCAGGGAACACGTTAGTTCAGCTTCTTATGCGGCCATACCCATCCCTTTGGGGGTAGTGGAGAAGGTTAGCGAGGCAGGTGACTAGAGGAAGCGTGCTGCTACACCGGCCCGTCACACTGACGGGTCCACGGTGTAACCAGTGGAGCCTTTGTCACCCTCGATGAGCAGTATAATTATTTTATCTGGCAGCGGGGCAGGTAGAGGGGAGAGGAAGTCCCCCTCACGGCCTGAAATGGTTTGTTTGAGTCTGGGCGTGTGACAGGGCTTTGGCAACAGGTGTGTAATCACCCCTTCATCCAGGTGTAACAGTAAAGGATACACCGATAGGTGTACCCACCTCACCGTATATATATATATACACTGATAGTTGTGTATATTTAGTCCTGGAGTATGTTCAGGACTATCGTATATACCTGCTAGTTGGCCAATATGCTATTTTGATAGCCTAAGTAACCCTCCAGAGGTTTGATAAGCTTTTTAAGGTATGACAAGAGTGATCGATTTTGTCCTTGGTAAATGCTTCATGGTGATAAGGTGGTAATATGATAAGATACAAAGTGAGTGTTCAAGAGGTACTATTCCCCCGCAGAGTGGCCACCGGTCACATACCGGCGCTGCTCTTACATTATAACTCCATCCTTTTTTGCCAAGTTTAATACACAGTATTATATTAGCCTAGGCTGGGATATGTTAGGCACAGATATCTGAAGTATTATACAGGACCTGACAGCTGGGAAAATTGCTCCTGACGTAACTATCTTACACACTGTTTTGGTTCTCTCCCAGTGTGGCATGCTTAGTTGGCGCTCTCTCCTAATATCACATACAATGACCTTACTGTATCTATATCATATTGGTTTATGGCTGAATGCACAGAAAGAGTTAACTTTACTCACATTCCAGTAACACAGATTCTCACCGTCTTACGCGCTTGGTGAACGTAACGGACCTTCCTGATAGTGTTGTAGCCAAATCAGTGACACGAGAGTAAGGAACAAACGCTGTAGTGGGAAGTCTATAGAATAAACATCAGCTTTTCTACGCCCAAAATTTTATGCAGTTGCGAAAACACCAACAACAACCTATACTGTGTATCTATCTAAATACATAGATACAGAAATGAAATAAATTTCTGTAACCAGCTGACATAATAATTGTAAGGTGTGCAAGATGGAGGTAAGTGATAGTGTCATAATCTCTGTTGGGGTCTGATAAAGACCGTTTGTGCCCTGTGTAATACATTTTTGCGCTACCGCTCGCAGGACGAGTATGGGGTGCACAATAAACTAGCCGCCTCCGGCAGCAACAATCAAAGCCAGTTGTTTTCTGAACAAATCCACAAGGGCCGTGACGAGGATTCGAACCAGACAGAACAGTTGTATTCTGTCGCATTTGCGAAGGATGAGCCACGATGCCAATAAACTCATCCTCCGGAGTAAAGTAAAAACAAAAAAAAAGTATTTTTCAGGTGTGTCATTTGCTGGTGTAGTTTTGAAGTAGATTGGGAATGGGTAAGGGAATAATGGGGTGAATGATAATGGGATGAATGGGTGATGCGA